CAGCAGCCGATGCTAGGTGGTCCTGAGGAATGGTACTGTTATCCCTAGTTTTGGTGGTCACATGACAACATATATATGGGGCGGGCAGGAGCGTAATGTATTGCGCTGTTTAAGCAGGACACAATTGTGTTATGAATTGTTAAACTGACGAGGTTGTGTTGCACAGGAGCACCTGGAATTGATTGTTGGCAGTGGTCTGTCTCACTTGACCGGGATCATGTTTAGGCGTTTTGACTGGTTGTTGATTTCTGCTTTTGTTGAGAGATGGCAACCAAATACGAACACGTTTCATATGCCATTTGGGGAGATCACGATCATGCTGCATGATGTGTACCATATTCTTGGGCTTCGTGTTGATGGTTCCATGGTTTCCACTACTCCTAGCACGGATGTCATACGGGACGCGTGCTTGGTTACCATGGATATGACTGCGGAAGAGTTGAATGAGAAGTGCGGTACTAAAACCATTTGGCAAGGTAGTGGGGTGCTAACCGAGAGGATGTTGGATACAACTTTGGAGGCGCAGAGGCCCTTTAATGTCCATTATAGTGCCTACATGTGGTTAGTAATAGGCAGATCACTATTTTTGGACAAGAGTGGTAACCGCACTCATCCTTCCTTCCTCAACGAGCTTGTTGATGATCTCCCAATTAATGAGTACTCTTAGGGTTCAGCTGCTCTAGCCTATCTGTATCGACAGTTGGGTACGGCATCACGAAAAGATGCTGATTCGATCGCTGGTTCTCTCACGCTTCTGCAAGCGTGGATCTATGCGTACTTTCCGTGTTTTCGGCCTCAGCAAGGTACCTTGACGAGGGAACTTAGTATTCCTCGTGCGTCTGCGTGTGATGTTGGACCGGGGTGCCCTAACAAGAGCATGGAGCGCCTCCTCGCTTTTTGTGCTAGACTGGATCAGCTGACTGACCTTGAGGTTAACTGGCTCCCGTACGGAGTTAATCCTGCACGACACGTGCCACCCACTCTATTTATTGGCTGCATCCAGTACCGTAGCATCATTGAGCCATACATGCCTGATCGAGTGCTTCGACAACTTGGATTCGTCCAGGACATTCCAAGGACCATTATCAGGCCTGAGAAGGCCAAGAGACCGACGAACTTGAAGATGTATCGGGTAGACTTTCCGACCGAGATGACATCTGTGATGTGGACTCGATTTGTCCCTGGTTCGTCTTTCAGTGTTGTTTTAGGTAACCTCACCAGACTTGGTGGATCCGGAAATTTAAGGCGGATCCACCATAGAGGATCCAACAATTTTAGGCGAATGCCCCCATTTCAAAAAAAAAAAAAAAGTTCGACGACTTACCGAATCCTCCGGCGATACCTCCGGTATACGATCGTTGTCGTTGTCATTGTCCATCGTCCTAAACCCATCGTTAAAGCTTAATAAATTTATTTTAAATGAAACGGGTTTTTGTTGGTGGGCCTCGGCAATTTTGGGACTCGAGAATTTTTTAAACCAAGTGGTGAATATTGGGACTCGGGAATTTATTAAAGCAAGTGGGTGACGGGATTAATATTAAAATACTCGGGAATCTTTTTAACCAAGTGCTAGACCCTTATATAGCCCAAGTTATGAAAAGGGCAAAATGGTCATTTCATCTCAAAATGGGAGCGACGCCTGGTAAATTGGGAGCGATGTTTAGCAGTTCACATAAGGGGAAATTTGACAACTCACCACTGGCTCAAAAAATGAGAGGGAAAATAGAGTGGGAAAAAAATTGGGTTTTGGCGCCATCTATCATATGTAGGCGGGATAAAATTTATTGGCGCCAAACAATTTTGTTACTAAAAAAATCTTTTACATTACTAATAAATACACTTTTGTTACTAGGATATAATATTGTCCTAGTTAGCGTCATTAATGAAGAGAGATGTTTTTCATATGAATCAAATAATACTCCATTTGACGATATTTTGTAAACTACAAATCAAAAAATTATTATAATATAACCAATGAAAATATTTTTTAATGATCTTTCTATAGACATCCATATCGATATATTTTTGAAAATGTTATGAAGTTGGGCAATTTTAACTTTACTATAGTTTGTGATCTTATTAATAAGTGTTAGTAATTAGTGGTTATGGTTGCTAAAAAAATTTCAAACATACCAATAAAGTACATATTATAGTTTTTATTACATATATAAATAAAGTAATCGTATAAAAATAAATAGGCGTTAGATACAATTATCAAATGTTGTACGAATTAATTAATAATTTGAACCTAACCACCCACAACTGATCCTCGAATCCGGATTAGCTTAAAGGGTGAACCGGGTGAAACACAAAAGGAAAAAAAAAATAATAATAATAAAATAAAATTAATAATTTGAGGGCTTAATTCATCCGTCAAAGGATTTTAATCAAATAATTAAGAGTTAAAATGAAATCACGAAAGATTACACACAATTATAGTCACTTATTGCTAAATAATCTCTTGTGAAACTCGATTATTATTTACTATTTACTTATTCAACTTTATTCTTATGACTTTCCAATGGTTGCGTTTATTTTACATCATCTATAACTCTAAACACTTGCCGCCGGCTCTTTTTCTCGGACATGAAACAAATTCAAACAAAAATCATTACACATAATCAATGTTGCTTTATTCCCTACCAATCAATGTGTTTTATCAAGTCAAATTTTAAAGGGTAAATAATTGATAACTTTGAAAGTTACAATTACGTACAGTTTTCAAAGTTTGAAAAATTATTGAGAATTATATTCAATATATAAATTTATTACTAATAATTACGTGTTTACTATTTTTTATTTTGGGGGGGGGGGGTGTTTTGTTACTACAAAAGTGTACATACTCCGTATAAAATATAACTTACCCATCACAAGTTTTAGGATAATATATTTGTTACTAACTATGCAAATATCAATTTGAGGGTAAGAAAAATAAAATTTGAAAAAGGTGACTTATGTTCTTGCAAGGGATTGAACTTGGAGACAATGTTTCATCATTGCAAATTTATGTTCAACGTCATTAACCAAGATTGCGGGATAAACAACATGTCAACATTTATAAAAAAAGGTACTGCTACGTCGGTTTAAGATATTTGGTTACCAAACATAATTGATTGTGTTACTAACTAATTTGCTTGTGTTACTAAATAAATTAGTAAGTTAAAGTGTTTGATATTATTGGAGGATTTCTGCCATTTTCGCCGACCTTATACCTTTTTCAGCCATTGCCAAGGTCCTTCGACTCTCCATCTTTTTACTAACGAGTATGACTATCACTACTTTTGTGACGTTAATAATTGTTACATTTCTAAACGAATTCCAAATTCAATAGAAAATGGGAAGAAGAAGAAGATGACCAATTTCAATAGTTTAATAGAAAAGGGGAAGAATACCAATTTCAATTATTGTAGACGATTAAATGACGAAGATTAACTCAATTAAACCACAAACTATATATAACACATTATCTTCAGCAAATAATCATACAACGATGATTTATTTAATTGTAATATAATCTATTTTAACTAGAAAAAATAAAGCCCTATATATGACGTAAATTCAAGCTTCAAAGACAAAAACCACGCAAAGTAATTTCATAGTGAATTGGCCGAAGAAACCAACAGAAAGAGGATGGAAAATATAATTTAGCAAGAACAAAATTCACATTTTTTTTCATCTTCCAAGGCCACCATTGCTGTTCATGGTGTTGAAGAAGAATGAAAAGTATTTTTTTTTTTAATATAAAAATTGCATTGAAAATGACACAATATTTGAAATTCAAAGTTAAGGTTAAATTTTAAATGTAATTGAAATTCAAATAAAATTTCATATTTAGTGAATTTTGGGGCTCATTTCACCAACCAATCAAAGGCTGCCATATCACATTGTATGTGGGGGGACCACATACAATGGTTTTATGTATAGCCTTTTCCAGATGTAACTAGACCTAGATTTTTCTCCCAAGAAACTGCACTACAATTGTGATAAAATTTTATTGTTTAAAATTTCCATCAGTGATGATTAGGCGCATATGGGTGGGCAAAATAAAAAAAAATAAAGGGCATTTTAGGCGTTACATTTTTTTTTTAAACCTTAACCATTGTTAAGGAATTACTAACTTGATTACTTAATGTCACCGTTGGTTTAATATAAATAATTGTAGTTTACCAAGGATAATAAGAATTTTAACAATTTACCAGAGGCTCTAAATGCAAGTAGTATTTCACCTAAATGCAGAATAAGATAAAATTTTAATAAAGTTTATGTTCCTATTTTACCCTTTTTTTAATTTACTCCTAACTATACAGTCATCCCTATTCCTCCTACCAACAAATTATAAAGTATCTTAACTTTTTATCCTGTTTGATTTTTTGTACGGATTCATGGACAATGATGAATTGCACTACGACTATTTTTTTAAGGTATGTATATTTTGTGCTATTGATTTTTTTCCCCCCGCAAAAATAACTAATATATGAACAGTCGAACAATTAAAATTTATTCGAGACTTTTACGGGAATTAATGTAATATATCGGTTCGAATTTCCGGGCATGAATGCAAAAGACCGGTTTAAATTTTTGGGGATAAATGTATTGTACCAGCGTTGCTTTCCGCGGGGGGGGGGGGGGGTAACAGTTAGTACCGGATAGAATTTCCGGGGCTTGCTAGTTGGTAGTGGCTAGAATTTCTGGGGCCTGCTAGTGGGTACCGGCTAGAATTTCAGGGACCTTCGATCGGATGGTTTATGAACGGTTAACGACTTCTTCGTCTCTAGGGCTGGGATTGAAGGATTTTGAGGGATTAGGGATTCCAGAGGTAGAGATGGAGATTAAAATGAATTGAAAAAAAAAAAAAAAAAAAAAAAAACTGATGAAGGCTGCTAAACGTGAAATAGCAAGTCTTATATTTTTATTATTTTTTTTGTTTGAAGTCAGTCTTTTTATTTTGGAAAAGGGTATTTCAATTTTTTTATTCTATTAATATCATTAATTCATTTTTGAATTTAAGTCTACAATGTTACCAAAGAGAATTTCTCATTTCAAAAATGTTATTATTAACATTCTACATGTGACAATTTTTATTTAACTTTTTATTCATGTGATTTAGTTTAATTTTATTTTAATTAATTTAATCTCCTTATCTTCCAAAGTACAAATTTTATATATTTTCCCAATAAAAAATTGTATAATGAAAATATTGATGTATGAAATCACACATTGACAAACAAAACATGCATGCTTAAAGAAATTTGTATTCGAGACTATTTTAAATTTTTAACACATTTGCTCAGTATATACCCTACAGAAGCACTGCTGAGTTTGTCCTCAATTCCAGACTTTCAATGTCATGTTGTGGATTTTCCAGCATAGTCTTAGATTACATGAAATGTCGCTTATGCTTCTCTGCCTAGCTCGTGTACATTCTGCCTCACACTGAGCCATCTGCACTTCTCTGCGGATAACTGCTAAACACACCCAACTACCTTGGATTTGTTGTTTGGACTTGGTTCCGAACTAGTACAATTACTAATTGGCATCTGCAGTTGCTTACGCCTTTGATTTTAGCTTGACTGATGTTAGCCACTTAGCCATACCGCCATACCGCACCAGGAATTGTGTGTGTGTTTTCTTTCCTAAAGCTGATTTTGTATCAGTAAAGTTACAAAATTGCAAGTGTAGTGCAAAACTACAGCAGTACACAGAGAAAAGCGTAAATTGAATCCAAAACCAGTTAACGGCCCTAGGAAGAAGCTAAATTCTGTTTCTTTCAGCAAGAAGTAAAACATGCGTAATTCTTTGTTCTTGCTGCTGTAAAAGAAAAATACAAAAACCTACGACAACGCTGCTATGACTGAAAATTGCAGCCTAAAAGGGATCCAACGTCGACGATAGAAGTCTATATGTTCAATTTTTACCTGCAAAGGAAGAAAAAAAATCATATTTAAGCATGTAAAGCTGATAAAACCATTAGAGAAATGCATCAGAAATCAAAACGAGACAGTAAGTGCAAAAGAGGGTGGGGAAGTTCCCAAATTTCTGTACACCAGATAAACATAACAAAGCTGTAACAGGCAACAGCCCTATGACAGGTAATGCAAGAGTAAGGGATATATAACAGGTAAAATGAGCAATTTGAGTCTCGCCAACATTTGCTATTGGGTTAGAAATCCCATAAAATGGCACTTTGCTAACCAAAAATTTTCACAGCTATCAAGTCAATTCGGGATGCAATAGAAGAGGCACATCCACTTTCTTATTGTACGTGCAATAATTGCACTTGCAATCTTACTAAGAAAATCCATCAGAGATTGGGAAAAAAAAAAGATGGTATACTCAGGAAGCAGAATTTTCCTAGAGTAACAGAGGTCTATGTGCTATCTGTTCAAAAGGTAGACAAGGACATTTCTCAAGCATTGAATCAGATGGAGTCAATGGCTATTGTTACATACAAAAGAAGATACAATGAACATTCAACTAGCTAAGACACAATCCTTCTAATCAATCATCAAAAACCAGCTTACAGCAATACGGTAGTGTTTGGCCAAGCTATTTCTGAGCTTGAGAAACCGAAATTTGGCCAAACAAGGGTCTTACAGAAATAGAAACGCTCAATGAGAAAGTGGATCAGATTTAGAAGGCCAAATGACCCAAAAATAGATTCTAGAGGGTGTAGAAGAAGAAGCTTGGAGCTTCTAGGAACTGATTCTCAGGGATCCAAAATACTCCTTTAATGAAAATTTTTATCAAACCATCATACCCTTCAATTATTAGAAAATACCCACATGTCCCATCTAAAAAAAAAATAACTCTCCTCCCCTTTTCTCTCAATGCTATAGCTGATACTCTCTTCTAAGTCTATGAGTCTTCCTGCTTTCCTAAATCCCCGTACATTCAGCCCCACATCCTCCATCAACAAATTATCATTTAAAAAAAAATTAAAAATTGTAGTTTTGAAAAATTGTTTATAAACTCTCCTTATTTTCACACTGCAAATGCATTTTGAGATGGTTTTTATTTTTCCTATTATGAGAAAGATGGCAGTGGTGTTGTGTTGTTGTGGTTTTTTTTTTCTTCTTTTTTTTTAAGAGGGCTGTGTTGTTTTTGCCATTTAATTTCACAAATCAACCAACTTGGTTGATTATTGTGGGAATGAAAATACACGGGAAAATGAAAAGTTAAATTGCTGCCAAATCCATACTTTAAAACATTAGAGGAAATTGAGTGTAGGTAGTCGGTATAATAAAATGTGGTAGCCATTGTTTTTTGTTCATATGATTTCAAGCAAAGAGGGTGATGAAGAAAATACTCCGTAGAAGATAAAAGCCAATTCAATGAAAACAAAAAGGAAATTGGGGAAAAAATTATAAGCTTAAGGAAAATTAATGAATAACTAGGTGTTTATGGAGAACTACTGATTAGAAACATAATTCTAAGGAACAGAAATTGGTATTCAGAAGCTTGGCCGAATAGACTGTAATTATAGTGCTCTCAAGCAAGTAGGTTGGCTCAAAAGGTTTAATAGACCAGGCTCCAACTATACCACACACATTCTGAAGTTTCAATGCTTTAAGATACATGGATATCCAGGTTTCAAAGGTTTCATGGACAATAGAGTAGCTGCTAAGTCCTACAATGAAGTAGATACTAGTAACACCATACCATTGCAAATGGAACACTGCAACAATTTATATGGCGCAGTACAATCTAGGATTGTTTGGTTCGTTAAACTAGAATGGATTGGTATGAAATCTCATACACGAGGTATAAATTCTAAATCCCATGATAATTTAAAGTTGTTTGGTTTGTAATAGTTGGAATGGTATCTACATTTCATTAATGAAATGGTTTGTGAATCTTAGGGGGTAAGGTGGTATGGGATTCTAGGGGGGTGGGGTAGAGTTAAAACCTTGCTGGTATGAAGTTCCATTGGTAAAAAGCCTAACCAAACTTTAAAATGATGGTGGGTATATTTTCCCACCTATCTTGTACTAAAATCTAAATGGTTACTAGATAGGGCATCAATTTATAGATATCAAACTTGTTGCTAATACTAAGAAAAACATTACCATACATGATGGGTGTAAAATTTCAGTCAAGTAGTAGGGATAAATGACGGAATAACTTTGAATAATGTGCTTCATAAGATATGAGGTGTGAACTGCACTTTACACACTAGAAACGTTTTGTTTATTCTCATAAAGGGAAGTTCAATTCCTCTTGGTTATTCGAAAGTTGGTCTTGATAATGTGACTGCACTAAAGATGAGTAGTTATGTATTTGATTGAAGGCATGAATGTAATAAAGTTTGTCTAGCCGTAGTAGAAGATGCAAGATTGTGGCATCTTAGATTTTTCCTTTTTGTGAAATAAGGTCATGTCTAAGAGCACAATTTGTCCTACGACAACAAACAAACTATACTTCTTTTCACTTAATAGCATCAAAACAAAAGCTCATTTTAAACTGATTCATATGGATGGAGGGTCCCGATCCTGTAAAGACTCCTACTGGTTGTAATTAGTTTTGACAATATTGGATGGTTTTAGTAGATTCACTTAGATACAATTGTTGAGAAATAGAAGTGAAGTTGTTGCAATTATGGTTGGAATTTTAAATAATGGTTCATACACAAATTGATCAAAGTCTAGTGTGTTAGGTCTAATAATGCTAGGACATTATGTGAAGGAGGTATGAAAAAGTTGTATTTGAAACATGTGATTTCATATCATTTAAGTTTTAGTGATACGCCTTGGCAAAATGGAGTTGTTAGGAGGAAGCATAAACATCTTTGCACGGGTTATGTAGATAGACCCTAGAGTTCTAGGGGTTTGGGGTAATTGAAATTTATGTGCTAGCTTATCTTATTAATCAACAACCTTTAAGATCTTTTAAAGTTTTAATCATGATACGCATTCAATCCCCACCTTTCTTATCAAAAAAAATTTAGTTGTTTATGTTATGTCACGGCTCGATGAAAGAGCCAAAACTTGAGTTTTTCTAGGTTACTCAGTCATTAATAACAAGATGAAATGACAATTTAAAATATGTTTTATTTCATGAAAAGCATTTCCCACATCATCTTTACCCCACACACACACACGCACAATAACTCAAAGTTAATATCATCTTTAAGCTATTGTATACAAGTACAAAAATAAGGCAAAGCTAATATGTGAATAGTGCAAAAATTCAAAGTGTCACCTTAGAAATGAAGGGAGTAATTTTTATGTAAAAATAAATATAAACCCCCGTCCCCATTTCTAAATGCTTGCAACACTTGCATTTGCGCACAAAATTAAAAACATGTAGTGCATGGAAAGAGATATTTTAATGTGCAAGTGGGACTTATAGATATTTTAATATTTTGTAAGGGAGAGAAACAATTTAAAAAAAAAAATTCAATGTAAGTGCAATTACCAGAAGAGAAACAATGAAAAAAATTAGTGTTGTGGGGTTAAAGAGAAAGAAACATTAAAACAATAGTGGTCCCATGTTAAGATAGGAAATGTTGCAAGTAATTAGAAATGGCTAAAAGAGACAATTATTGTATTTAGGGGTCAAAAGAGAAAGAGTTGCAAGTATTTAAGAATGGAAGAATAATGGCCAAGTCATATATTGCATAAAAAGGGAAAACTTAAGTCACTCGATCGTGACGTATCGTATCCGATGAGTTTTATCACCGATATTTTATGTATTATATTGATTTGTAAAGTAGGTCGGGTTTTAGGGCAAGGCCGAAATTTAACACTAGCACTCCAAAACCTAGTTATTCAAAAACTAATCAAATTTTATTTGTGACACCAAGATAACATGACCTTTAATGTGATTGCGACTATTATCGCATATTCAAACCATTGTTAAAGGAAAAATTACACCAAAAGAGGAATGGTTTACTTAATGTTCTTCCTCTTCTGAAGCTTCAACAAGAAATTAGCTCAATTAAAGGAAATATGAACAAGGTATGTTTCTTCCGATTTACATTCTAAAATAATACTTCCTCTATTTTTTATTAGATTCATCACTTTCTATAAAAGGAAATTTCAATTTAAATGCATCACTTTCCCTTTTACTTAATAATTCTTTCTATCTTTCGCCTTTTACATGGGCACTCTTTATTTTCTCTCTCTCTTTCTACTCCAAAAATTGCATAAGAGTCCGCAATTACAAAAATAATGCAACTGAAAAAAAACAAAGTACTTCCAATGTTCTTTTTAACTTTATCTAGTATGATTTTTGTACTATTCAGTATTCATACACTCACTTCTGACCATTTTGAGTGATTTACTTAAGGAAAAAAAAAATATGAGATCTTGTTTAGAGCGTATTAAAAAATCCTATCATATTAGCTTTTTATTATAATTATTACTTAATAAGAGTTAAAGTTATTGATGGTCATGTAAGAGGAAGCATGTAATAGTAGTTTTTTTTTTTAGGCCATGTAATAAGAGTTAAATAAAACATTTTTTAATAGACCTAATGGTGCACCGATACGAAAAGTGGAAGAGTTGGATCACGGACAGGTTAAACGAGATAGAGGGAGACCAAAAATGACTTGGTTGGAAAGAGTTAGGAAGGATATGAAGCATATGATTTTGAATAAGAATGAGGTATTTGATTGTAAGGGATGGAGGAGGAAGATTATTGTGGATGATTATACTGAAGAATCACATTTGGTTCATGTAACCGAACCCGCTTATGGGATTAAAACTTTCATTATATTGATTGATATAATAGTACTTTATAAGAGAAATAGAAAGTGCAACAAAACTCAACTCCTACCATTTGGTTACAAATAAATAAATTACTATATTTTCTTTTATATGCAACAATTTTCATTACACGAGTTAGTGCGTTATTTCAATCATTAATATATATTTTATTATGAATATGTAAAAATTATAAAAACTTAATACTACTCTCTCTGTTTCAAAATGATCTTCTCACTAAGAATCTTTTGTGTAGATTAAGGAAAGGGAAAAATCTTGAAATAAAGTACATTTGGACCATTCAAATACAATAGGACCATCCTTATTTTGGAATAAACTACATTGTGACCACTTATTATTTTGGAATAAAGCGCATTGGTTTGAATTGGACCATTAAAATGAGGGTAATATGGGAAAATAATGAGGATAAGTGAGTAATCAAAATAGAAAGTGGAAAGATCATCTTAAAACACACAAAATAGGAATTTGAAAAGATCATTTTGGAACGGTGGGAATAATAAAGTATAAAACTAGACGAATCTAACAAGTCCCACATGATTATATTTTTCCTTGACTAATCATCAAAACTAGTCAAAGTGGAGTATTTGAATAGTGTAAAAGTCAAAGTGTTGCATTTAAAGGAAAACGAAAGAAGTACTAAAATAGGCCAAAATGTCTTAATTTACCTTTATTTTTCTTCAAATAAAATCATAATGTTACTATTTGCTTTTCCAATTCCCAAATTTCAATATCAATTTTTATATACCGAATTGGCAAGAAGACATCTTTAATTAAACCAAATTGGCTATGAAGATGTCTTTCTTCTTTTTTTTTTTTTTTTTTTATTACTATATTGGCTAATTGGATGTTTCCTTATTTTGTACTCCATAAGCAACAAAAACAACTCTGACCTACCTCATATATATATATAATGTATTAACATACTTAATGTCCATAAGCAAAAAAGGGTATAAGAAAATACTCCATTTGTCCCATTTTTCTTCCACTTATGGTAGCCCCAAATTACTATATTGACAAGTCATTAAAGCATTTATTGATACTCTGTTCCCTTATTAACATTAACTCAACCACTAATATAACTCCCTTCGTCCTTTTATTATAAGCCTATTTAGGTTTTTTCACAAAAATTAAGAAAATTGAATATTGCTTAAAACTAATAATTGGGAGTACATATGTGCATGTTGGATTAGAGAGAGAATAAAAAATAAAAAAAATAAAAAAAGTGGTTGGGAATTATTAAAGAGGGGAAAGAGAAAGTGTTGGAAATTGAAGCAAAAGTCATCAATAGTACAAAAAATAAAAATAAAAGGATGACAACTCATCAAAAAGTGGGGAATATTATCATAAAGTACAACCTTTAAATAGAAATAGACTCTTCATTTTAATTACCCCAAAATGGAATACAGGCTTATAATAAAAGGATCGGATGAAGGGAGTAAAAAACATAATAAATACAAGTTTTCATAATTACTTTCTTGAAACATGTTATAACACAAAATAATCACTTTTGGTTCATGTAATCAACCCCACTTATGAGATTAGGGCTTTGATTGATTGATTGATTGAAACATGTTATAACAACTATGATTTGAAAAGTTGTCTTCAAACCTTTAGGTGACGTACTGACATTCACACATTTATTTTCTTCAAACTATTAAAATGCTCCTTTTTCTATTAATTGATCTAGTAGAGGGAGAGTTTTAAAATTATTGATTTGATATCATAATTAACACGAGGATACACAGAGGTTCCATAGAGATTGTTTGCTTCAACATGACCATTTAGTCGAGTATGGAGTACATGCCAAATTCGGAGGACAATCCAATGTGGCAATCATAAAGAAATAAGCCTTAAGCATCATGATAGACATTATATACTATGTACAACTAACTAGACAATGACACAAACCAAACATGAAAAAAACTGGATAGTGTCAAGTAGGGTAGTTTAGATACTGGTACCCGATTGATCTCGGGTAGTAAGTAAACCAACACATGACCCGACCCGGTAAAACAAGGTACCCGTTTCTAGCCTTATTGAGTCGAGTCATAAGGTACTCGATTTAATCTGAATTTCTTAAAATTTATTTTTTTAGCTAAAAACCTATCATCTTAATTGCTGGCAAATAAAACTATTACAGTAAAGAACTCTGCCAATCATGCTGTAATATGTTCACCATAACAAAGGTTGCAAAGTTGCATCGATGAAATAGAAGCTGTTTTCAAGGGGGCTATGATGAAGGTGAGACGGCAGGGGATGGTGAAGAAATCAATGTGGGCGAGGAGAGAGAGAAAGATGGTGGTGGTGGTATTGCAGCGGTGGGAAGGGGTGTGGCAGTGGAGGGAAGAGATTGGGGCGGTAGTGGTGATACTGGTGGTGGGTGAGGTAGGGTTGTGATTTTCTCTCATGCTCTATTAGTGTTATGACGGCTATTATGAAACACTATAAAAACCTAGCTAAGGCCCAAAGAAACTAATAACTAAGCTGGCAATATTATTATTTTTGTAAAGAAAAAAAAAACCACCTTAGGGGTTTTCGGGTACCCAACCTGTGAAATTTTAAAAATGAAATATACCCAATTAAAATAAACCAAGTCATCGGATTGTTTTGAACACCCCTAGTGTCAAGGGTTAAACGAGTCAAACACAACATGGCATGACACGACACATTTAATTGTACAATACCACGAGACTAATAAATAACCAATATGTTATTGAATTGATGACTTTTCTTTTGAGCAAGGCAAAACAATAATTTATAATAGCATAATAACACGACATGAACTGAACATGAAAAAAGTGGGTTAGTGCCAAGAATTACTACGTTCAAATCAAGATTTGTTCTCTGATTTGTTTAATTTCAAGCACGAGCACGAGAACAAAACAACACATTTACCATCTCTAACTACCACAGTAATGCTATAATAATTTTTTTTTTCCATATTTAAATTCAATTGTTCATCTTTCACACCCGTAATCAATCATTACACTTGATCTTTATATATTGTCTTCAATTTTTATGTGATAGATTTTCTTATCTTTCTTTGTTTTTCCATTTCATTTCATTAAATATATTTTTTATTTTTATTTTTATTTGGGAAATACTTTATTTCTTATTAATTTCTTCTATTTGTTCGGGAGGATTAGGTCCCATGTCTTAAAATTTCAGACATTCTGAGTCCGACACTTGGATACGAGTCCTATACCTGAGCCCAAGTAACATAGCACAGGTAATCATCTTACTAATTATTGCCTATTGTTTTACACTTCATTCTATACTTAAAAGGCAAATCATTTAAATACCTGATAACCCTAAAGAGTGATCTTCGTCACAATTCTTAAACTAATCTAAAAGGAAGCCAAAAACAGACAATTGTGAGTTAGCACACTTCCACAACTCTAACTAAACTGAATGTTCTGCCATGGCTCATTTTAAGCAAGCTTTCTGAAAGTCTAGCTTAAAGGTCAAGATCTTCTAAACATCAAATTTGAAATATTAAGGTTGGTCAAGGAAATTACATACAATACATAAAAGATCAACTTAAAAAGCATTAATTCAAAATTGTAAGAATACTTACAGTGTCAAGGCAAGTTGAAGGAGTTCATCAATACATCCGACCACTGCACTCCATTGAGCCACAGTAGCAACTCTTTTTCTTAATATTTCCTTCGGAGTCCAAAACCTGATCTATAATATAATTGTAATGGTAAGCAAGCTCTTGTAGAGGAGGAATGTTTTCTGCTGCAAACAGCATTATGTGGGGAATTCTCTTGTCCTCGTGGTCGTAAAGGACATTCTGTGCATATAGGTTAGGAGTACAACTATGATTGATAAACCTCCCAACGTTCCCATAACTCACCGCATCAATGGTAAAACCGACATTTTCTATCACATCAACACTACTTGATGGCTTATCGGGCAAGAGATCTGAAAGTCCTTCCCAAAGAGTAGAATCATTATAGTTTTGCCCAATATCAAATAGATATTCATCATTGCTAGTTCTTTGGTCAGCTTCCTTGTCATCAAGCAATTCCCCTATATATTCACATATGAAGCTACCTGATGGAATTGCAGATAGACATCTTACACCCCACCCCCTAGAGTCAGTCTTGAAGACCTCAAGAGGAAGTTTGATACCATGTTGGCTGACTCTATTGTGACAAGATGGAGGGCACTTGCACAACGGCCCACATTCATATACAAGGGACTTGGCTTGAACAATAGCTCCACTGTAATTGTATGGTATGTCCCCTCCATTCTTAAGGGCACAAGCACAGTGCTCTGAATCTGAACATCCATTCTTACAATCACAGCCCTTAGGGGGTATAGGCCGGCACCAATCAGGGTACATCATGCTCGTAATATATGTAAATGGTGGTGGTTTCTCATCATCAATGGTATTGACTGCACCTATTGGGACATCCTCTTTTCCATCAGAAATATCAGCTATACAACGACCCTCACGTGCTTTAAATTTCTTGGACTGCTTCATTTCCTTCCAAGCAAGCTCTGGCTGACCTGGAACCCTTCTCAGCTCGAATTTGAAGACCAACTTTCCATGGGAACCAAGATCGTGCCAGTATTTTTCAACAGTGTATAGCCCATCATAAGTGTACGTTGCAATTGTTTTTGATCTTCCATTATTTGGTCTTCCATCAGAACTCTCCACAGCCTTTGTCTCTTTAAACCCTCGAATAACCCTAACCAGAGTCTTTTTATCTATGCAATTCTTCAGCCCTAAATTTCCTCGTTCAAGTTTCTGATCTTCAGGCTGCTTATCTCCACCTGTACCGTTTCCTCCCTGACCAGTATAAATCAGTACATTGGGATTATCCACATCATTAGCATAACCTCCAGAAGCCACAATACTGATCGCAATCGGTTGTTTATTGACCTTGATTGTATCTATACCACCTTGCAGGGGTGTATGAAGCCCAATTATAGCGAGTTCTATGCGGTAGTTAAATATATCACCTACTTCTACTCCAGGAACAGGCCCTATTCCTTTCACTGTGTTGATATATTTTCCAGCCTCCTTGAGCGTCCTTGCAGCACGTATATCAGCCCTCTTACTGGCGTTCTCTTGATCCTTCGACTTTGTTTCTTCTTCTTGCAAATACTTTCTATGAACAGCCTGGAATATGCGCAATGTATCACGTACCTTAGCACGCATACCTCTCTCACTTGAAGAGCTAGAAACACGAGGGGTAAGATTGACATCTACATCATCTCTTGGAAGCAGCTGATAATCGTCAAGTTCATCATTCTCAGAAGAGTCGCTATCATTTATGACATCCAGTGGCCTAGAAATCTCATCTATGCCCTCCTCGTGATAAGGTATCACCATCATACCTCTTTCTGCCAAGACCTTGCTATCCAATTTGTTTTTATTGGGTGATCCCTTGCGTGTACCTTGGCTAGAAATGTCACACTTCCCTTTTTTTTTCTTAGCCACAGTTGGTGTTGATTTAACTACTCCTTTCCCCACCCTCCATGGGCAGTGGTCTGCAGTCATAAGACCTTGTACGATAACCAGCTTCGACCCACTTCCTGCTCCTACATTTTTACAGGGAGCACCAATTGACTTTCTCTTCTTGTTTTTATCCTTAAAATAAACCATTATCTCTTTTTCTAGTCCATCAGGTAAATTTCCTGTATCTCTCTCACATTTTCCATAAAATTCTGGTAGTTCAATCTCTTTTTCAAATTGCTCACCATTTTTATCTTCAGAAATTTCCTCTTGTCCCCTTGTCTCATAAGATTTTCTGAACAAAGGAGTTCTATCAGAATCACAATGATGTACAATTGTATTCCCACCTTTTACAGTAGCAAGACCTTGTTCCTTGTCCTTGACGACATTGTCAGCTTCATGCTCTACTCCAACTAGATTTGCATTATATAGTACAATAGCTTTCTCCATTTTGGAATCTGGCTCCCTTTGATCAAAATGTTGGTCTTTAGTATCACAGAGCTTTGGCACAATATGCCCACAGCCGACAGGGAAATCACGAACAGCAGAAACTTTTCTTCGAGGAGGATATTTAGGTTCCTTCCAAACAAGATTTGGAGGGACAGGATAATGTGGTAATGAACAATGTTGTACACTAGTTCCCTTATCCAACAACGCTTTGTCATCAATAGCAAGATCAAGATTGCCAATATCCTTTCTTGCACTGGGCGACTCTACGATCCGTTCAATTAACTCAGGTAACGTATCACGAATTTCTTTTTCTGACTTAGAATCCTCATCAATGTTTGACAAGACTTCAAATGATTTAGGATTATCCTCTGGCAGATTCAAATTCTCTTCATTTTCCTGTTCTACCTCATCACATTTATTCAAATTAGATTTCTCTTGTTCATTCCCATTTGAGCACGATGGAACATCATGACTTCGTGACTCAACTTTTTCTTCTGGAAGTAAGTTTTCCATCACTCCACAAACATCGCTACCCTTTTCCCTACTAAAATCTACATTTATTAAAGCACCACACTCTTTTTTCCCACTACTTCCCACTTCCTTCAGTTGAAGGCTAATTCCTGCAGCATTTGGCCCACATCCATCAGGAAAATCACGGATTGCAGAGACTTTCCGCCGTGTATATCTTGGTGGGGAGACTAGCAAAGAACAATCCCCGTTTTCCGATGCCCTCTTATCAGCAACTATGGAACCCATTTCCCTATGATTGCTCTCTAATACCCGGACAGAAGGTTGGTTCGAGAGAACCGCTACGCGCTTGAGGCCCCCTAGTATAAACCTATAGCAAGAGTGGATTCTAATTAATACTACATCAATTCACTTTTGTCCCAATCAAAATTCTAAATATACCCCAAACAATTAAACCTAAAATGTAAATTATAGCGCAGGCATCTATTAAATCCTAAATAAATCAATCAATAATCACTTTCCCCAAGAAAAAGTCAGGCCATTTCATATCATACTAAAAAACTAAAATTCAAAATCATCAAGCTTAATCTATCTAACATCCAGAGACAACTCAAAACCCTAATTCGGCAATTACTTCGCTAAATCAACAACAAATAATCAAAGAAAATTAGAATGGTTAATTGTTTATACAACAAAATTCATCAAATCATCAATGTCATCCAAATCAACCCACAAATGTTCACTAATCAAACCAAAAAATCTCCGAAATAAATCCATATTCAACAAAATGAAGAATTCCAGAAAATAATAAAATTTTGAACCAATAAAATTAATATAACTATGCAACAAAAGATTATCCAGAAGCAGATTTCAGAAGTACATAAACAGAGGAAAAAATTAACCTTGAGAAATGCGGAAAGAAAGGACGATTGAAGAGAGAGAAAAGTGTCAGCCGCCGGCGACGCCGAGCATGGAGGAGAGGTGATGCTTACGACAAGTCGACAACCACACTGTACTGAAATAACCACCTTTGTTTATGCTAAATTGCTTTGAAATGGTGCTTAGAAGTTTGGGGCCTAATTGTGATACATTTCCAAAAGGGAGTACATTTATTCTATAGACGAGCAAATGTATTTCAAGGTCATTTTGGTAAATTTGAACTCTCGGGGAGTTTTCGATGAGGGCAAATGTTGAGCATTTTTAGGTAGAATAATTAGAAAATACAAGTTTATCTTACTAATTAACAAAAGTTTATCAGCACTTTTTAAATAAATTAATAACTCTTTTTTTTATTAAATATAGGCTTTATAGTTGGAAAAAATGGAATAAAATTGTTGATATATTTACGAAAATGTCACGTGATAAACAATTTTTGTTTATGTCAGACATAAACTAGGGCTACCTCACAAACCATTGTTGCATATTCAAAAATGGTTGCTCAGACGAGTCAAAGTCAAGTGGGCAAACATAAAAGAACGAGTAGGGGGAGTCTAGATTTGAAACCCTAATTCGTGATGATGATATATGGTAATTCAAATCAAGATTGTGGAAATTCACAAACTTTCAAAAAAAAAAAAAGAAAAAAAATCGGGTATACAGTTATTATTGTAAATCTGTTGTAAAATTGCCCCAAAATGATCAACAACTACCCTTAAAATGAATAAAGGTTACCTTATGTGTTTAAAATTTACCCAATCTATCTATCTATAAATAATACTAAAGTAACAACCGCTGACATTATCCTTTTTTCAAATTGTACACATGTCAGCTTCTCCTTCAATTTTTTCCCGTAAACTTTTTTTTAACCACTAAATTAGGAGAGGAGAGCAATTTGTCAAATACTAAGTAGATAATTTAGATGATATTGCTCCCTATGTACTCATGGATAATTTATCCCGTAATTAGGCAAACTTTGATTTCTTAAAAAAAAAATAAAAAAAAAATAAATAAAATAAAAGATAATCTTTTGGAATCAGTATCTCACAATTAATGGCAACCAAGGAAAAAAAATCTAAAACTTATACTAAAGTAATTACCGCTGACATCACCACTGCCATGTGTTAGCTTCTTATAAAACATAATACCTCCAAAATTATAAATGACATCGTTCTTTTTTCTTCATTTCAAGATAAAGTTAATGTTTGGAAAAGTAGATTAAGGCCCTGTCCTTTTAAGGTTTAGGGCAGAGCAGAGCAGATTTCAGACTTTTCAATAGACCAGAGCAGAGCTTCCAACACTGCAGAGCAGAGTAAATCAGATTTCAGCAAAGTAGAGTAGAGCAGAGCAAAGCAGAACAACTCAAAAGAACAGGACCTAAAAACTTTTATGACTAAATTTACTAACTACAAAATTTCCTATGGAGGTAAAGAAATTAATAATAATATTATTTATTGGTCTCTTTCGTTTTCCTTCTTTCTTCCTATATAGAATTTTTTTTCCCCTACATTTTATCAGTGATGGTATGAATTTGAATTTTATACTCTTTATTAATTCTTTAAATTTTTTTATACTGAAACAAAAACCACTAAATTGATATGATGCTAACATTTCATTAATTTTATTTAAATAATGAAGTTAATTGGAATATTTAACGTCATTTTTTATTTTGGCTCAATTTTATTAAGAAGAGAGATCATTATTTATTATGTTTTCTCTTATATTATTTATATTACGCATATAAGAGCAAAAGTTTTATTACTAAAAGCGTGCATCGCATGGGACTAACCTAGTAAATAAAAATTCTACATGGTGCCTCAAGGATATAAAAATTCTACATGGAAGACAATGTTTTTTTGCATTCTCTTAAGTGGCACTCTAGATTTTCATAATTAAGTATAGTGACCTTTTTTTGATTTTTTTGGCTAACCATTAGTTTTATACTAAACAAACTAACTAACCCCCTTCCCAGCCACCAAACCCACCACCCGCACTGCCGCCAGCCACACCCACACACGCCCATCGCCACTGCCCCTCCCTAGCCTTACACCACCGCCAGCCCCAACCTTTCCATACCCCACCGCTAGCCCCGAGCCAAACCTACCCCCCGCCAGCTCCGACCCAATTTTACCAGCCCAATCACGAAAACCACCCCCTTTTTTCCTCAGCCACCATTCGAAACCCAAAATCCTAGCCACCACCCTCGAAACCCCAACCCAGCCATCGTACGACATCAAGACCCTAGCCACAAAATAGTGAAAAGTCCGGCCGCCCCTACCCCACACCTCGTAAAGACCGGCGCTAGGGTTTCGAGTGTGTAACGAGGGGCAGCCGGACTTTCCGGCAACTTTTAGGGGTTTTCGATTGGTGGGGGCTGAGGTTACGCTGGTTAGGGAAGAGGAAGGAATTTGACATTTTCCAATTTTGGGAGCATAATTAGGAAATACTCACTGCGCTAATATTCATAAACAATAAAGTTCACATAAACGATAAAACGAATAGTGCAATGAACATGATCTCTCTACACTCAATCTCCAACATGTAATATGCTGCATCACTTGAAATGCTTCTCTTTATTCTGCCCAAAGACAAGCAAGGCAACAAACACAATACGAAATAAAGCTAAGTACACATACGCAAAGGAATGCACGGACACTACCATGATACACCCTAGCAACATCAAAAAACTTACCTGGTAATTGTGAAGTTTTATAGAGCAACTAGTTATTGGCCCGGGCGATGCCCTCGATCATCATAAATTTATAAGTTTGACCACAATTAATTTAGACGGGTTTTGAACAATAACAATAAGTAAATGAAAATTGAAGGTTTTATGTGTTCGTCAAGTGCAATTACTAGCCGCTAGCCGAGGCTTGGTGCGCGCACGCTGACCGAGAGCGTGGCGCTAACACTAGGCCACAAGCAGCCATGTAAGGTGCAGCGTGCTAGGCAGCCTAATGTTGTCGCAAGCTCACACTCGCATGGCCTGCTAGCAACACGCAGCAGCTCGTTAACTAGCGAGGCTTGTTGGTGCTTGCGGGCAAGGTCGTTGTGCTTGCGGGCAAGGCCATTGGGCTTGCGGCAAGCTAGCCAGCAGCGCATAGCAGCCCATCTAGCTTGTGGTGTGTTCAGGCCGGCCCAGCCGAAGCCACAAAGGCCTTGACCGACCATTCCTTGTTGCCCAAGGATATTTACTGGTCTTGCCTTATTGTGATTGGTGGGTTTGGTGGCTTGGGGAACAAGGAGGCCATGTGGGCTGTCCTTGTGGTCCTCACCCAACCCCTTGATCACCTTATGCCACTAGTTGTTTGATGATTGTCTTGCCATTTTAATTTAATTTAGAATTAAATTAATTTTTTTTTTTTTGGGCATTTTTCCAACTATCCTACATTGAAAGATGATGGGAATTCTTGGGGACATTTCCCTATAAATACCCATCACATAATTTAGACCCTATTCTTTTGAGCTTTTAGGCAGAGTAGAGCAGAGTATGTATCAGCAAAGGAGAGCTAAACTAAGCAAAGTAGAGCAGAGCAGCTCTAAAGCTAGAACAGGGCTTTATACTAGTATTTATAAATTGGCCTAAACCATCTAACCTCGAGCTAGTAGATTGAGACACTTGAGAAGCTAGCATTGATGATTGGCATGTCTACTACACATGTAACACACCTTCTTAATTAGTACTATACATCTATAATTAGAATATAAAGTCAAATTAGAAATCAAAAATAGAGTATTAGAATTAAAATAGAATTAGAATTACCTAATAATATGTTTCAAAAAAAAAAAAAAAAAAGAATTACCTAATAATAATAAATATGTTCTTTTTTCCCTCCTATTTGCCAGGAATGCAGTTTGTAGTATGTGTCACTAATTATTGAACTCATACACGTACAAGTAAAAATCCGAATTATAATAGGAGCCACAAATTATCACGAATTTTGCTTGTTTAGTTAGTTCATCGATTTTTTAAAAGTTAATTGTGCTCAACATCTAACCATCTATCATCAAAAACATTGTAATAATTTTTGTAAGAAAATCTCCTTTAAAACTCACCCAACATATATAAGTGATATAATTTAAGCTTCAACTTATTGAAACACTTAGGTCAAAATGGTGATCAAACAAACAATTTTTTGTGCTTTTTTTCTTTGTGCTTCATGCAACTTCATCTTATCTTTTGCTAGACCCGTGCTAGAGGCAATGGATGTAGATCAACAAAATGATATAGGGCTCGATGACGCCCCGTTTAGGAAAACCGACGATCTGGCTTTCACGCCGGAGTTCAAGATAGATCCACCACCATCCTCATCATTATCTCGAATCCCCGACTTCTCTTCTGATTTTGGGCCAACCATGCCAACCAAGACTAATGGTGAGAAATCCTCATCTAATGTGCCTATAGTGTCTCAAGGACAAGGGGAAAAGACCTACAATGGTCATTCAAATGATTGGTGGTATAAAGTAGATGCCAATGGCAAAGTTGAAGCATCTCCTAACTTCTCAAATGATAAAGGTGTACCACAAGAGGTTAAGCAACAAGTTCAAACCGTGTCAGGTCAATTGAAGCATCATGGTCATCGTTGAATACTCATTCAATCCATCCAAAAATTTCATATATGTATGTGATACTATATTAGTGCGTTCAGAAAAGAGTAAGTCGTCGCCTTTCTTAGAATAGTACTGGTTTGTGATTGGTTTTCCTACTATCCTTTCTAAGATCGAGTAATAAGGGGTGTTGGAATGATCGTCCAACCATTAGATTAGTTATAGGAGGGAGTGTACGTAATTTCTAAGACAAATAAAAAAGAAAAATTATGCCAAATTCTATATATAAGGGTTAAAACAATTTGACTAATTTCAAGATAAAAGGGAACTATTTAGAGATTATGTTTATCGTAATTTGTAAGAAGCACATCATTACATTTTGTGAATAAAGAATATATATTTGTCTAGTGATGAAACTTCTAAAGCCACTAAGTCAATAGTAGCTTGTGTGCAGTGGCCTAGGTCGGAGCAAACTTTTATTCAATTTTAATCTAAATTTGTGAGTATAATATATTTTAGAATTTCTCAACAACAATGATTAAATAGATAAGTCATGATTTTCTTCGCTTCTTTTGGTGTTCTTGATTGGAATTTTCAAAGATTTCAATATAACTTAATAAAAGTTTAATAGTCTCTCAATATATGTGAAAAAACACATTCATGAGATATATTGTTTGATTCATCGCTTCATCTCATCAATATATATGTACTTAAAGATACTTAAGTTTTTGTGTGTGAATTCCCTTAACAGAAATTAATACGTGTGTGCATAGAGGATGGTCGTCGTAGGTCAACTAAAAGTCTCAGATTTGAAAACGTTGCAAAAAGTGAAACGGAAACAAAAAAAATTAAACGGAGGAAGTAGCTTGTAGCTCGTATTTATAAAATCCACAAAGATACATAACAATATACTATCATCCATGATGAACAAAAGCATCACACATTCACGCATAACATAACTTGGAATAACATATGGAGTATTGAAATACAGAGTAAATAAAAAGCGTTGCGTTATTTATTACAAGCATTGTCAGCTTGAATCAATTAATTAACCGCTCGCATATTAATTAATTAGTACGTAATTTTGATGTAATTAAGCAATGATGAAGGGAAGAACGTTCAACAGGAACTCCTCGTAGCAGAAAGTTGCTTTGCCACACACAGCTTTAGCGTTAAATGTCTCAGTCAAACCCTGCAAATTATAGATTAACAATTAATTATATTCATCAACGATATAAATAGATTATTATTACATATTATAAAATCGAAACATGTAATTACCTTAATAGTGAGGCAGCACCTGCATTAAGAAAAGGGAAAACAAAAAGGAGGTTCATTAGCTATAATCAAAGAACTTCAACCGGAAAATAATGCAGACAATCGTAATAATATACTCAATCCGTCCTCAAATAATTAGTACAAATTAATCTTTAAGGAGTGTAAAATTTTGAAACAAATTATTTGAGAACTGAGTGATATGAGTGTATGTATTCATGTATATATATATTACCTCCGTTTTTTATTATTTGCAACAAAGGGGTATTATTTGTAAGACATAAAATATTCCTTTGTTGCAAATAATAAAAAACGGAGGTAGTATATTTTTTTTGGTAGGTAAGGAGATAACAATCTTATCCCTAGATTTTCAAAGTATATATACACAAAGTAGTATATATCATATATACTATAACTTTATACAAGAAATTAAGGAGATCGAAGTAGAGAAGGACGTACTCAATGAAGGCGTCATATTGAAGAGAGCACCTTCCAGATTTGCTAAATTTAGCAACAAGCAGATTCACAATAATAGGAGAAACACAATACCCCAAGCTGCTCATTGCTTGGTTCATCTCAGAAGAATCAATGCTTCCATTCCTGTCCCTGTCAAACCTTTGGAACATTGCCTGTAAAAAATTTCAAGGATATATATATATAAGTACGTGCACGATTATGAATTATATAAATTGCGTATATATAAATCAGATTTTCCCTCCTAAAATCCCTTCCGATATGATCAAGCCTTTTAATATTTTGACTTACCCTCCAGGTTTGGAGGCACTTGAGCAATGGGACGAATTCCTTAGGACCTGTTCAATAGGATAAATATTAGAACTTGATCAAATATATCTATCCTAGAAATTTAACTATCAGTTTAAGCTTTTAGTTGAATTGTTACAAGCCAGTAATTTAAGGGTAGATATACTAACCACATGTATTTTTTTTTTAATGCAAACAAGGGGCTAAGCCCCGAAAAGAAAACTAAAACAAAAATAACAAACTAAGGTGCAGGAACAAAACGAGGGAATGCCACACCAACTCTATCCTCATATTAAATACTAACCACATATATACGGTAAGAATGGTTTCAAAATATATATATATATATATAAATATATATTTATTGTAACCAAAAAATGTAGCATCGTCGTGTGTTTTACAATAAGTTATTGTGAGATTGCTTTACCTACGTGACAAGTACAAATTGTGAGATTGTTTTACCTACGTGACAAGTACAAAAAGCGTTTAAGGCGTACTTACCAATCATCCTCCTGTTAGAGTGGGTGAACTCATACATGAGAAGGTGGACAGTCCTAAGGTTAAAGTTGTGGTTACAGTTGGTGAGTACAGACTGGAGCTCCCTGTCGTCGATGATTCCATTGCCATCCCTATCGATCCTGTTGAAGCACTCAATGACCTTAGGGTCAGTACCCGGTGGGAAGGCCGATGGCATGATCTCACAGAACGCGTCCTGCCCAAACACAGTCATTGCTTGGGAGGAAGAATACTGAGACTTCATGGAGGAACTGCTGTGTATCATGCCACCTGCATGCTGCGACTGCTGCACCAGGCCTCCGTGCTGCGACTGCTGCACCAGGCCGCCATGCTGCGACTGATGCATCATGCCCTGGCGCATGCTGTACTGCTGGTGCTGCATCCCGCCGTGTGATGAAGAATGATGAGCCTGAGATGATAACATCGACGATGGGCGATGCATTTGTTGCTGTGATCCATCATCACAGTAGCTGCTGCTCTGACGATAAGCTTGCATATTTGCTCTGTTTTTTTTATAGGGAATTCCCTCTTAATTTAAACGAGGGATTGAGTTAGCTTAAGATGTTTGTGATTGATGTTTGCAAATGAAGATTATGCTATCTTTTTATAGCACAAGAAAAATTCACTATTATGGTCCCTAAATTCCTTTTTTTTTTTTTTTTTTGATACTTTTATTAATGGAGGATTTTTAAAGTGGTGGAATCCAATTACACCACTTGAGCATTTTCATTTCAAATGGTGGAGCTTGCTGATAAAGTGATAAATTGACAATTGTAATTCTTAGCATCGTTTTTCTTCTCATTTATGCATGGTTAAACTTGCTCACTATTTGTAATTAATCAACAAATACATGTATATATCTTGTATGTTCGACACTATTAGTAGTTGTAGACTTGTAGTAGCAAGTTGTACTACGGGAAGTAGTAGATAACTTTTTTCTACTACATGCAAGGGTGTGTTGTACCTTGTACATACATGCTTATTGTTAGTGATTAGCCATGAAGTCATCGACAAAACTATTCTATATTCGTCAATAAACAAGAGAACATATGATTGACTTGATGCCCTTGAGTACAGTCTCTTGCTACCAACATCAATTCATAGGAACAAATTTTTTGAATTGAACAAACATATTTGGATTATATTGAAGTATTGAAAGTCACAAAGGACAATGATGTATACGAGGTTTGATTCTATATTGTGTTTGTTGTACATCATATTTATGTTCATAAATGAACCCAACATGACAATTTGCTTACTTGCTAAATTATTATAGATCGATAATATTAGTAGCACTTGTACTGTGATAATTAAATTTCAGATAAAATTAAATAATTTCAGATAATACAAATTAGGAAGACTCAACCCGTCAACATATGAACTGATTGATTTTTTTTTGTACAACTGGTTGTGGCATTCCTTTCTCATAAAGTTTTACGCAACATATTTAGAAATGCATACGATAGTGGACAGATGCTACGACCAACCTAATTGACACTATCATAACATTCTCCATACAAGGCCATAACCGAGGATTCTGTTTTCATCATATCATGATATAAAATACAGAGAGTAAAAGTGTTCCATCAACTTTTTAGGATTCTGACCAATTCTTATCTAGAATAATTTTACATATTTTAATTCATGATTGGCCACAAATTGCAATTAATTTCGAATTTTTTAATTGCATGGCAATTGGCATGTTTTCATATGAATTGTTTTCTAATTTTGAGATGAAAAGGGGACTTGCCTATTACGAATATTTTGGAGGACCCTTTTACAAATTACTCCGTAACTTATTGAATATGAATTTAGACCTGGCAAATGAGTCATTCAGGTCAGGTATGGGTCGGATTAATTTCAGGTCGAGTTCTTTTGGGTTAGCTAACATTTGGATCGGGTATGGGTCAGATTGGGTCAATTTGGGTTTTAGGTATAACTCCGGTCAGGTATCGGGTCAATTTCGGTCGGGTATGTTCAGACCATTTTTCAGTTCGAGTATGTTCGGGTCCTTTTCGGGTCGAGTCAAAATCGGGTTGGGTCATTTTCGGGTTGTTCTATTTGTGGATCAAGCTTAAATCGATAAGTTTTATCTTGTTATTGTTATAATAAGAACTACCAATTTGTTTTATGAGCTTAGCTACGGTTGAAAATGAACAATTTGAGTCATTTTTGACACTAGACATTTTTAGGTCAATTATAAGCTACTTTTAATTTGGGACAATTCGGGTAGTGGGTCTATTTAGGTCAAACATTTCGGGTCAATTTCGAGTCGGGTCAAACATATCGGGTCAATTTCAGGTCGAATTAGTTCGGGTGTCGAGTCAAGATTGGGTCAACTCCATTTTCGGGTCGGGTATGAGTCGGGTTGATTTCGGGCTTCAGGTCAAATTTGGGTCGATGTTTTTCGGTCAATTTCGGGTTATGAGTCGGGTCATTCGGGTCGAGTCATCGGGTCTGGGTCAAGAGTGTCAGGTCTAAATATGATAAGCTCTTAAGGAAACTATTTCCACACACAAACATCTATTTGATCATCTATGCTAATTTTTTTTTTATTGTAAAATAACTCTAACAAACACAGAAAATAAGTTATTAACATAATGAGTTTGTTTTTATTCGATCTTTCAAGAAATAAATTTAAAATGAAAATAAATAAATAATAGAGAAAATGTGGTTCTTGAAGCCTTAAAAGGCACATGATCTAAGCAAACTTCAGTCATACTAACATCATCCTTATTTATGAAAAAAAAAATTATTCATGTTACTATTCACAAAAAAAAATACTTTCTCTCTCATATATATCAATTATCAACCAAACAAATAATTTCCAACATCCTCCTCTTAACCATGAACCAGAAAAAAAATAGAAGCTTTTGCATGAGGACACATGGCGAGCTGCTGCATGCTGTCTGTGTCAACAATTTACTTTTTTTTTTTTTTAAAGTCACTTTTGGAGTAAAAAACTCAACAAAAGTGAGTTTTTTGTTAGACAAGTAATTTTCATGAACGGTTTGGTTTTCTTAACTATTCGTACTTGTTCAAGCCACTATTCATTATCACCTCTTTTTTTATATTATTTTATTTAAATAGTAACACAAATAATTTTATTTGTTCATTGTTAAGGATGCTCTAACTTTCATATTTTGTAGTTTGTATTTCGCTGTTATTAAAAAAAATATTTATTTTAAAATATTAGAATCGCATAACCTACTGCAGAAAATTCGAGATTCCATTCAACTCAAAATCAACACTTTAATCCTCAACTTTTCCGATGAATAACCAGCTTCAATCCATCCATAACTATCGAATCGTTATCTCTTAAAGTCTTTGAATTGTGTGTTGATATTGAGATAGTGTTATATGGAATAATCAAATATGATTGTTCTTCCTAACTTATAAATTATCAAATACGGCCAAATTGTAGGATGTAAATGGCATTAAAAATCAGTAGGATACAACTTAATAATGAAGGTTAATATTAAGCAATCCCTTATCACACTAATCACAATGTTACAATAATTATCAACATCAATATAATTAGATAAATTAATGATCAAAATCGTGTCTCACATCACAACATTCATGTTTAGTCGACGTGACATATTTAACAATAAAAGATGAGATCAAGCTAGACAGTAATTTGTATGGCTTTCTTCGCTCCGCCATATTTTTAATAAGTTAGTTAAGTACCAAAAAACGGTGCAAAATTGCGAAATAACAGACTGTAAATTGCAAGTGCAAAATTCCAGCAAGCATTTTACAATAACCAAAAGAGATTAACCGAATAAAATCAGACATACTTTCCCGCAAAATTTTCGATTCTCTAAGTTTTAAGCAGGTTAGCTAAGATGGAAGTCAAATGCAATAAAAATTATGAGATCTACACAAACTCTTTGGCCTTAAATAATAAAGATCGCAATAAAACTAAACGGTACAAACACTTGTAGCAGCACCCTTGTTGAAAACTACCTTGCTGGTTATGCCAGTCCTTGACTACCTTGCTGGTTGTGCCTGTCCTTGCTCAAGAAGTTGGCCCACTAATTTGTATGTACGCCCTGACAATGCCTTGGTGTGATCAATGAGCTGCTCATACCTGGAAAGACAAGAAACATAAATCAACTTGCAAAACTGCGTAATCCGATTAAACAAAAGGGGGAAAAAATGGGGGGGAAACTCAATATTGACAAGGAATTGTCTTTCTTACACATTAGGGTAATTGGGCTCCATCACTATGGTGCCCAACTTAGAGTCAATCTTGGCATCAAGCTTAGAAGTGCGTATGAGGGTCATAATCCACCTCTCTGCTTCCTCATAACTCAAATTCAATTTCTCGGCTAGGACCCTGACCAATACAAATTTGATCAGAAAAAAGAACTTTCAATTTTATACAATGAATTTTCACTGTGATAGTTATACTGCACACAAGCCAAAAGCGCTGATTTAAAAAATTCTCAGCATGAATATCAGATAATCACTTGACAGTTCAACAAATTCAAATCATACAACTTTTACCAAGTATTGCCCCAATATTTAGGAGCCAAAAACCCACTCTGTTCACCAAATCATAAAGAAACTCTACACAACAATTGCACAAAAAGACATACAAGTGAGGCAATCTAGTGAGAGACATCATAATCCCTTAGTCAGGTAATTACAACTCAGGATGACAGAATCGTTACCATAAGATAACTCAAAATGACAGTACTTTATATTCCATGAAACAAGATAGATAAGGCCATAGAGAGTATGAACATACCCCAATTCAATGCGCTGATGGATCCTACAATAGGTTTCACAAATGAAAAGCCTGGCATTTTCAAGAAACTCATCCCTTAGTGGAACAGTGGTATAACTTCCCTCCTCAACTCGTTTACCAAGGAATGGATCATTTAGTATGACCTGGACAGAAAAAACCAATTGCAAAAAATGAGAAGTGTAAGCATTAAGAATAACAGGCAGTCCAAAAAGAAAATTAAAATCCAAATTATGCTTGAATGATAAAACGTCAAAGCAATGTTCTAAATTTGCTATACCAAACTACAATGAATATGAACACAAAAACTCTAGCACTGTCTATAAGTCTCTAAAGAAGTTAAAATCCAAAATTATGCTTGAATGATAAAATTTCAAAAAATGTTCATAAAACAAAATTGTGACGCTGGTTATCGAGCCCATGCAATGAGATATACAGTCGTGACTTGTCACCATAATCTATTGTTCACTTATGTGCTACTTCTTATGAATAAACAATAAAAGGAAAAAAAACCCATAATTTGACGAGACTCTATTTCAACCTCCCTCTGCCCCATTGAGTTCATCCACTTCTCCCAACATACAAAATTTTCACAAATTTATTAGACTCCATAATATTTGTGAAGAGTCACCATGGACATCCAAAGGACATTAATATACTTGATAGCATAATAAAGGGGAGAATAACCTGAAATCACAACAAAAATAAAATAAAAAATAACAGAATGGCCAAAAGCATCAATGAACAATGAACATGCACAGTTTATTCCATACAATCATTCTTCTGAATAATATGCCTACACGTACAAAGGGGATGGGGGAGAATTGAGCAAAAG